TCGATACTTGGATTAGGGTAGGAAAAATAACTCACGTATGCCTGTTAATACGTATAATTACGAATTGGACAGACCCCAGCCGTACCTATCTCCTTTGCTACACTCGTAAAACTACTAGCCGCAGGCCAGTACCCCGTAGTGGGTCTTTTGAAAATAGTGTCAGCTCAGCACAGACCGTGACTCAAGACGGTTGGTCGTTGAGTCAACGGACAGGTTACTGGTAACTGGTTACTGGTAACTGGTTACTACTACTGAGAGCACAAGAAATCGCCAAGTCAACTGTTTCAACTACAAAATAAAGTGATCGGAAATTGTTAATTTGGCCAATTTAACACAAAGTTCAAAATATTCCAATTTCAAAATAGGGTCCAGAACTAAACTAACATTTCCTCTGTTCATTAGTTACATTTTGAGGCTTTACAAATAAATTCCATTTTGATTTTTTATTCACATAATGAATTTTTATTCACACCAAAAAATAGAAGATTTACTGTTATGCAATACTGTAATAATTGTATAAATATCATCACCATATTTGTGAATGTATATTAGACCCACCAGCTGACGTGTATTAGATGTGTGAGGTCGTTTGTTTACTCTTGAATATCGGCAAAAATTTAACATTTCCGCTACTTTGAGCTCAGTTTCAAGCCATTTCCAGTGCTAAAACCAATCAAAATCATCTCTATTTCTGTAATATGTCTTCCATTCTATCAAATGAGACCAAGAAATCGCAAATACAACTATAAAAAACATACGAAAAAACACTGCAAAGTCGCTGTTTTAATCGAAAAATCATGATTTCAGTTTTTTTCTCTCATTATACACAGTGTGCTGCAGGATCTGTTTTATGTGGTGCACACATACCACATAGATGTATTCTCTCATATCTAGGCCCTAATGTACCACTCACAGTTATCAGAGTGAGCTGAGCTCATGGCGTAGATCTACAGTTTGGACACTCACCGTAAAGCCGTAGATCTACGGGACGGACCCTGAAAGGGTTAATAACATACATATTATTAAACCATAACATGTATGTATTTAGTACAATTTATGACGTTTTCATGTATTTTATGATTGTTCATGGTTCAACAAGTTAAGGAAGAAGTATTGTATTATATTTCCCTACAATATATTGGGGCACCAAACATTCGCGATTTTTCAACATTAGCGAGGCTCTTGATTCCCTAACCCTTGCGAAATCGCAATCTCAAAGGAAACAGCACCAAGGCCAGCAAGAAAACACCAAAAAATCAACTATTCAACAAGTGTAGCGAGCTACCACCCCTCTCACTACCGCTCAAGGCGGCACCACAACAATAACAACAAACATGGCTGCCCCCAGCCCATCCACCCCTCTCTTCCCCGGATTCAACCTACCAAGTAGTCTCTCAGGTATGACCAACGATCCAGATACCCTAAAGTCATGCATCTCCACCTTAGTTATTGAAAATATGAATCTTCGAGAGACACTAACAAAACAAGACACCAGGATGACACAACTCGAGAACAAAATCCTCAGTCTTGAACAAAAGTTATCAACACCAGGAATGAATAACTATGGCAAGACCATCCAAACAGTCATAGATAGCCATACAGAACAAATAATATCTCTTAATACAAAGGGTTTAGGAAGCAGTAAAAGAATGGAAGAACAACTTAGATAACCAGTTCAGTGACTACTTTGCTCTCCAAGAAGATAAAACTGAGCAAGATAAACTACCGGATGCAGCAATAGTTAACAGTCCACTTTTTCCCAGTGATGTGAACCAAACGAACAGTAAAGAAATTACTCTCCAGATCACGAAGGACCAACCAAAAGTTACAGTATCAGAGTCAGAAATAAAGGAAGCCAGGTTACTAGGATCCCATGGTAGGAAAAGTGTTATGCTTAGATTCCACTCACATGACAGGAAAAAAGACTTAATAATTGCATCTATTAAAGTAAAGAAAGAGGTATACATAAACGAGTGTCTTACCAAAAAATGTCAGAACCTCCTGTATTGAGTCAGAAAATTTAAGCGGGAGAATAATGACACAATACACCAATGCTTCACACAGATGGGAAAATTCTAGTTAGGAAAACAATGTAGGTCAACTGTACACAATCACGAACGAGAATAATCTATCATGATTTCTCAGGGATACTAATCTTACAGAGAATAACTAAATGTCCAACCTAAAAGCCTACGTAATGTAGTGTATGTTTTGCTCCATTATTGTTCAAATTTCATAGTACAATCTCTTAGTAATTAAATAATCAATTACCTCATTTTGTGATTTTACTAGTAAGCATAAGTCACCTTATCTAATTTTCTTACTTACTATTGTTTGCTTAAATATTAGCTGAATTGATACTTTCTTTGTCCATATTACTACCTCATATTTTTTTAAATACTATTAGCTGATATTACTTACTAAAATTAATAATTAATTACCATTTTTACTATCAGTACAATTTACTCTTAACATTTTTGACATCATTTAATTACCATTACTTGTCTAATAACCATAACCTGTTTTAATACCACATTTACTATCTTAGAGTACTCTTAAATACCTTGTACTGCCAAATAACCTCTAGTATAACTACCACTGCAATATTGAATCAAAATAACTGTTCTTAAAATTTAATACTTCAAATAAACATTACTTTTTCACTTTTTTTTTTTTTTTTTGCTAATTAATCTTTTTTTGTAATCATTATTACTTATTAAAATTTTATTAAACACCATATTACTACCAGTCAATTTTACTTTTGTAAATTAATCATTTTTTTAAATACTTTTCATAACATTTTATTGCCAAATTTTCAAGTTTGTATATTCAACTCCAACCTTTATATTACCCTTTGTACCTGTGTACCTGTCTACCATCTTACTATCATAATTATAACCAAGTCATTGCCATTGTTATTTTTTACTTATTATTCTTTTGGTACTTAAATTTGTGAATTTTATTTTGTCATTTAATCTAATTATACTCTTGATCTTGTTAACAACCTATATCAGACCCTAGTGCAATTGCAAGTACCATTTTAATTTGTATTTTTATATTAAAAGTTTATACCTAGTTGTACTTTAGCTCATTCTAGCTCAATACATAGACAACACCTAAACTAACTATACCTAGTTGTACTTTAGCTCATTCTAGCTCAATACATAGACAACACTAAATTCATTATATTAGACCTTAGTGCAATTACAAGAGTGAGTCTGGTGCCACTTGTAATTTGTTTTTTTTATAGTATTAGTTTATACCTAGTTGTACTTTAGCTCATTCTAGCACAACACATAGACAATATCAATTTCATTATGTTTATTAGTGACTATACTCTATATGACCAAAGTGCTTTAGCGGTATACTTATCCAAACTTCCCACCACTACAGAAATCAGTATTAGAACTCACCACATAATACAGGATATAAACAACCACTATTTAAACCTAAAAGATGAATGATCACGTTGACCCTTATCTAAACCTCCATAATCTAACACACAATTAAAACTTATTGGAAAGTAACTGCCTTAATTACACAGCATCACAAGCCAGCAATATCCTGAACACTGCTCAAAGTCTATCAGTTCTTAACTACAACATCAGGTCCTTAAGCAAACACTGTGATGACTTCCTGGCACTCCTTGAGTCACTAAAGACACCCTTCTCCTGCATTATTCTTACTGAGACCTGGCTTAAGCAGGACACAATTGATATCTACCCTCTAGTCTACCAGGATACACAGCAATCCACAACTGCAGACCATACCAAGTTGGGGGTGGTACTGCAATCTATTACTCAACCAACTATCTGATTAGCACTAAATTTCTTTAGTGTAATATGGGAAAACATTTTGCAATTTTCCCCGAAAAAACTCAAGACGCTAAACAATCATGCCAAAT